GATCAGTCCTGCCTAAGACGGCCACCTGTCTTATACGGCCACTTTTCTCCTTGGCAATGGGTGGCCGTCTTACACAGGTTTGACTGTATTCTTATACATGTCATTTTAGATTTTGAACTGGTTAGTTTTAGTTTTTGTAAGAATTTTACGGCACTTGCAACACAATTAGATAAATATAAGTGCCGAAGATTACAAGAGAGAAGATATTTTAAAAAGGAGGAGAGAAAGAACAATAGATGTTTGATAGGAGAAAGAAGGAGTATACCAGACCAGAGCACCTGTCAAACACAAAATGAAGTTATGGTGAAAAGAAATCTAATATGGTGAAAAGAAATATCTAAAATTATTTTTAAAGTATGAACTATGAAAAATGGGTTCAAAGTTTCAACATGATATTTATCATAAATGTATGTATTTAAAGCACTGTCTTGGCTTGTACCCAAGTTTTAAAGTCGTTTTCATAGAATAGCACACAGACATTCTCAAATATAATAGACCTTTATATTGTTAAGTTAAAAATAGGAAGACTGATTGAAATTAGACTTAAGTGTAAAAGCGATAGAATGTCAAAACTTTCACAGGAAAAAAAATTGGAATCAGTTCTGTAATTGATAAAAATCATATTTGTAAATGATTTTTTTTCAGTAAATTACTCCAACTCAACTCGAAATGACCCAATCCCATCCTTTGTCTTGGCTTTTTTTTTAGCTCAAAACTAAGTTTGCAGTCACATCAGTTCTCACAGAGTGCATCACATTTTAACATAAAAGAAAGAAGAAAGAGCATTGTTGACTTTGGCATGAAAATAAAAAGTAGAGCTACAGTCGTGTGTATAGACAATCCAAAATTGCAAAACTTGAATTCACGGATATAATTCACACAGTGTGTGCCATTCCCCGACTGAATTGCTACATTTTCTTTTTATTGGCAGCACGACATTCTAGAATACATGCATGATAGTGTCAAAAACTCATCTTGAAAAGCCTGATAAATAAAATTGTTACTCACGATTGTCTCTAGTTTTAATCACCGTGTGCACACAATGAAAAACTAACGTACACCCATCATCATCTAGAGAATCATGTTACATGAGCCCACTGCCCTTGTTTTTCCAAGCACAGCATGATACATTGTACATGCATGCTCCCCATCGCACATTACTTTGTAGTGTGTGTTCGATGTTAGACTTTCCTGTGTGATCAAAGACAGACAGTGTGGCCTTGCACTTGGCAATTTGGGATGTGAATTATTTTTCTGTTTGTGCGCATGTGTGTGTGGTCGTCAGGCCTCTTATTTTCAGGCTAACTTAACTTTTTGATGTTCTATCTTAAGGGGTATTTAAACCCTTTTGTAGAAACTTAAAGGGTTGTTGGTTTTTTTGTTCATGTCTGACATAATAGTCCTCAAAAGTCAATTATCTTCTAATTTTACTGTAAGAATTTTTGCATGTAAACATTTAACTCACGCGCATATTCACACAGTCACACACAGAGTGACCATGACAATGACTGAATGCTAACGATTTTTAATTAACTGTGAGGTTTCATTGTATCAACAAGAAATAAATGAGGGTGGTGGTTGTTCGACCAATAAAAAATGGAGTAAAGTTGACAAACCAAAAGGGGTCAATTCTGACCGTAATACACAAAGAAAATAAACTGATTCATTATTCTTCAAAGCCACCCCAGGGTTCACATTCCAGTCTTTACAGACTTCAGATATTTTTCCTTCATGAAAATTTCACAAGCCTCCTGGATCACTTCCTTTTCATCAAATAAAAATGCCTCATGCTTGAGTAGGGCGACTGCTTCTGGCACAGACAAAAGGTGACTGCTTGCTTGTATGTGTGTGGGTGTATTGTCGAATCATTGACTCGGCTTTGGGATAGAGAACGGGGAAAATGATGCTTTCTAGACGTATACCACCTACGTTTAAAAGGGTATGCAAACCTCCGAAATGAAATTTTAAAGAGTAACTCTCATGCACCTCCAAAACTTAGAGGGGGTAATCTGCAGATTTAATGCATAATATACGCACATCTGCGCGTAATGGGGAGCCTTGGGTTGTTTGAACATGAAGGCGTGGATGGAGAAGTAATTACGCATGAGGGGTGCGTGGCATGCTATGCCCAGTATTTGTAGCCTTGTCCTGACAGTGATCTGATGCTAGACCTTTTTTTTTCGGTCATAAACTGATCAGCATGGCCCTTTTCCTTTTTCTTGCTTCCACACTCAACAAGGCGCACGCAGTGTCTTTCCTTCAGCCCTCTTAGTCTTATTCAAACTGGGTGCTTTTCATGATGACAATGATTTAAATTCTGATTGATATATCATCACAGATATTTTCCTTGATTTTCTTCAGTAGCTATCTCGTATTTTTCATTATTCCTGTTTACTAGAATTTTACGGATACATATGTGTCACGACACGGTTGAATCAGGAGCTCGTCTATTTAGGGCATGTGGAGTTACGTGTATTGGTATAATCTGAAAGTTGGTTTATTTGCCTTTCTTCCAATGAAATAAATATCCATTTATCTAGAAAAGAACTCAAGATATTTGCGATTGAAGAAGGTGAGATTGCCTGGTTTTGGTGGTGAAATTACTGAGAAAATGACCCCCAAGTTTTATAAGTCATATAGCTAAAGAGTCTTTTAAAACTGAAAAATGACATATTTTGTGCCTTTAATCAATGTTTTTCAGTAAAATTCACGTGGACATAAAAGAGGTTAAGCCAAAAAATAAGAAATAGATACAAATTTCCAAACTGGGAGAAAAAATGCCTGTTTCTCCGATTTCATTATTTTGGTTAGCGCCTGATTTCACCACGCTGCCTCACATATGTCTGACACATACTATTTCCTCATACTGAATGCAGATCTAGGATCTAGATCCAGATAAATCGAATCTAGAATAGTATATCATCATCATCATTGCTTTCTCATCCTGCACCAGGGTATAGGCCATGGACAAATACTTTCCACCTTTCTCTATCCTGGGCTCGCCTCTTGATGTTATTCCATGTCTTACCACTTTTCTGAACATCAATTTCTGTGATTCTTTTCCAAGTTCCACACCGTCTTTCCCTTGATCTTTTACCCTGTGGATTCCAGTCCAACACTTTTTTGTTATGCAGCTGCCTGACTTCCTGAGAGTATGTCCAATCCGTACGCCACCGCCTTCTTCCTGCCTCATCTCTGACTGGGATTTGTCTTATTTTCCTTCTCACTTTCTTGTTGGTGACCCTGTCTGTCCATTTGATCCTCAGTAACATTTTTAGACACTTGTTGAAGAAAGCTTGGGTCCTCTTTATGCAAGTCAGTGATGCTTTCCATGTCGCACATGCATGCAACAGGACTGGTTTCACATTTGAATTGAAATAGAGTAGTAGATATTTAGGTCTAAATTTAATCTGTACTTGGATCAACATATTTCATTTTGTTCAACCTCAGTTCATTAGAGTACCTTTTTATCTATCATGCCAGCAATTTTTTTTACTGCAATAGTTCTATTTCTTTGTGCTCCAATCTTCAGTTAAGTAGCAATGCGTTTTATTTAACTGAGGCATGCTTGTTTTAATATTTTCTCATAAAAGTAAAATGTGCAGATAGCAGATGGCTGAGATGGTTGGTCAACAGCTGTCCGGACTCTTATTTTCAGCAACACTTAAGTGTTTATGGTAACAATGGTAACAGGTGTTTTTCAGTGTAACTCAAGCTGGTGACTGTCTGGTAGTGTAGCCACTAGTCTTTTATTGATTTGAGTAAATATTGACAGAACTACCTTGGAGATATTTTTGTGGCCTCCTGGTTCACGGAGTCTCATTGTAGAAATATCATAAATATTGAATGGAGATTTTTTCGTATAAGAGTAATATGAAATTGCAAGTGAATGAACTATAGAGATGTTGGAAAATGAAATGTTCATATTTTTTTAACACACACTCATGTGTACCGTGTTTATGTTTACATGTGTGTTTGTAGATGTGTGTGTGCGTACGCATAGGTGTTAATCAATTTCTTATTAGTAATAGGAAAAGAATACTGAGAAAGGAGGGGAAAGGAGAAAGAGAGTGCAAGAGACAGAGACAGCGATCTGAGAGAGAGAGAGAGATAAAGATAGACTATTAAGTCGGTAAGTAGATAGGTAGACAGATTCTGACAGATTGGCAAAAATTGGCTCAAAATTTTGATGAGAAGGGAAAGGTAGAATAAGTTTCGAATACAGTTGAGCACAGATTATAATCAAACTTGTCGGGGATTGCAAATGTGTTGGACACATTCATAATTTGGATAAACTGATAAAGAAAAATTAAAGATATCGTTTATTAGTCACGGGATAGCAAACTGTACAAGCTCTCCATGATTTTGAGTTTTCCATGTTCATGTTATCTGTCCTTGGCTTCACATTTCAGTTGTTTTGTATGGTGGCATGAACTACTGCCATATATTTATTGTCTGCCAACATTAATGATATGTTTCTTTCTTTTTTTTTTTTTCTCGGCAGATTTTGTGACAATTGCTACCATTCTGGGAACAGGAATATTAGGTGAGAAGATGAGGAAGCTGTATAAGAATTCATTTTTAGATTTTTTATTAAAAGATAATTCTTAGAACTGAAATACAAATGCATTAGAATCTGCTTAAACCGAGCATAGTGTCAGTCCAAAAGCAGTCAGTAAACTGAAATAAAGTAAAATCCCTGATTTTTCTTTCTCATTCAAACTATCTCTCTAAACCAAAGAAAATCCAGCGGCCCCGCAAACATAGGTTGAAGTGGATTCCACTGTAGTATCTTCACCCAATCTATATCAACTGCAGCTCAGAAGTTCACCATTAGAAGCTGAGCTTTATTTTATATATATATATATATATATAAATCCTTATTGATTTAATTACTACTCGGTGTGTTATTTAAGGTTCACACGTGTATCATAATAATAATAATAATAAATAGCATTTGTATAGTGCATATCCCCTCTCAACAGCAGTCTCTATGCGCTTTACACTATATTATTACCCCAGCAGACCATAGAACACTCCGAAACATTCTCAGCTTCCAGGGAAGCATACAGTGCAAGCTGCTGATTAAGCGCTCAGAGACTAACGAACTGACAAGATCTTTGGCTGTCTATAGCCGGGTACCCATTCCTACCTGGGTGAAGTGAGGAAAATTCTTGTAAAGTGCCTTTCTCAAGGACACAACGTCGGGCCCCTGATGAGATTCGAACCCCCGACCTTGCGGTTGCGAGTTCGAGAGCCTAACCACTAGGCCACCGACTCCTGCTGCTTGAAGCTCAGTTGAACTTGCTCTTACAGCTATGTGTCCAAAACTATCACCTGCGCAAACGACCACTTCCCAGTTCCCCTCTTGTGCTTTTGTGCTGTGTTAAAATGACACTGTTCGGAAAGTCCACCTGACTAAGACGATCACTTTTGCTCCTCAATAAGAATAAGAGGTGGCTGTCTTGGACAATTTCGACTGTACTTAGTTGGTCTCCTTAGTTTTAAGTTTTTGGTTAGATTTTCTTCTTTTATCCGAAGAAGTAGCCCATTGTTGTCAGTGATATTGTGTTTCTTTAGGAATTGACAATTTGCCGCGGGTGCCCAAGATATAGATATTTATGTTTCTGTGACTCTATAAAGTATTTAGGTTCCATGCAGTTGTGTACACCAACAAGACCTGAGCTTTCCATGAAGTTCCAGTGCATCACATATGCTACTGATAATTATTCAAAAACAAGTTTGTTAAAACCATAGTAATAATAATCCCTTTGAAAATATCATTTAACTGTCGTCTATTTGTGCACTTCGGCTGCTGTGGGTTCATGACTTGATGATCAGTGAAACAAACTGTTTAATGGCACTGACTATAAAAAAGATTTCAAATCATCATTAAGTGCTAGATCTGCAACAGACATCAGTGTTCATGGTTTTCCATCCATTCCTTTGCCTGGATGCTCTAAAAAAACCGACATTTTCGAGGCTTGTAATCAACTTTTATGTTTCAGTAGTTTCCGCTTTATGTTTCAGGTTATCAGATTTAGCAGATTCTTAAAGCAAAAATATTTAGCTGTACATTACACTTCAAAAACAGAGAAGAAGTCATATTATTGTGATGACTGCCAGCAAATTGATGGTAAGGGTTTTATAGCGCTCGTAACTGCATAATGTCATATGAGCGTGCCAGAAACATCAAATATTTTCAGTTGGTAGGAAATTTAGAATTTTGCCCCGGTGGCGGCCGAAGCCTACTCTTATCGATTTTAGACCATCAAGGGATCTTGAACATGCGCAACTTGCACACGGGACCTAGAGATTTTTAACCCTTGTCCGAGAAGGCAAGGTGTAGATCTTTCCTACCAGAAGATCAGGGGTGTGGCTAAAAGACAGTAAGAAGGAGCTAAGGAGTAGCCGTAGAAAGGCCTCAGAAAGAGTCCAGAGCCGAGGTGAGGGGGTGGGGGCTGAAAGTGGAGACGAAAGCAGACGACAGAACATTGGAAAAGAACAGGAAATGGGGTGAAAGGAGACAATTTTAGAGAAGAAAATGTTTCAGTCGCTGCCCGGATTCAAACCAAGGACCTTTGAATGAGAGGCAGACACCTTGACCTTTAGGCTACGAGAGCCCCCCCCCCCCAGCAAATTAATAGTTTTTTTCTAATCAAAGCTTTTAAATAAAAATAATTCATTGTATTTTGATTTTCGATGCATCCTCAATCTGCAAAGAGAAAAAACAGAGTGCATGATACTGATTACTCTGAGATAAAGGCTGATTTCTTTTCCTTTATCTATGTTTTGTGTTTGGAATCTATGAGCTATTGATGTGGGCCCATTTTAACTTTGTCAACTTATTAAGCAGGATCTCCTCTGACTAAACGTTAAAACAAAAGATAACCGACCATTTTAATGTAGTTTTTTTTTTATGCCCACCACGTCAAGATAGTTTAGATCATTTAGGAGATGGGCTTTGACACTGCTTGTCAGGGCCAACCAAGGCTGCGAGGGATACAACGTCACAGAGGGAAAAATTGAGATACTCAATAAAGATTCTCCCGACTTGAGAATGGAACTCATGTCTTCTGTGTGTGATGATGAAGAGCCTAAATGCTATACCACAGACGCCAGTTGGCTGAGCTGGGCATCCTATGTAGAAACACTATAATTTGACGAATTTCTTATTGTTGTTGCTTTGACCATTCAGCACCACCATATCGACTCTCTTCATAATTTGTCATTTTGTGCTAAATGGTTTTTATTGAGCCATCTGATGGTTGCACCAAGAAACAAATAAAGATTTGTGTTGATAAGACCCTGAGAGCCTTCAACTAGCTCAATAGAATTTGGAAACATAAGAAGCCGAGCTCAGACTTAAAGCTAAGAGTGCACAACTTGAATGTCCTGTGAGTGTGAGTCATCCTGTATGGTTAATTGAGTTTTATTCGCTTTGTCACAGGCTGTATGTCTATCAATGATTTACCTGCAATTAATCATGATTTACTTGCCATTAATCCTGAGGTGAATGATTATCACTGAGTCACGTGTGTGTTAAATCAGAGATTTATCATTGCCCATCTGTCTGTTATCTTTTTTTTCCCATCCATGCATGTTTTTAAAACACAAACAGGAATTATCATGGTTACATGTTATTTAATACTGTTTCATTTGGTCTGGGATGAAGGTGGTGGTGCCCTGGGGTCCTTCTTCTTTTTTTTTCTATTTCTGTCCAAGTTTTTATATTGTTTGTGGGCAGTTGTGGGTTGTCACTGTTAGAACCTATTTCTTTTCTTTCCATTTATTGTTTCTATCTGTCAAATTATTTCAGGATCGGGCTAATTTTGTTGAAGATATCTTTAGCCATTGCAATTCGTCGTTTTATTTCTGTGTAACATTTATTGGCATCATATGCACTTATTTATTCCTAGATATACAAACTGTTGAACCTGAAACTAGATTTTATATGAACTTATTCCATTTGTAAACTTGTTGAATCTCCCCAGTGCAGTGCTACTGACTGAAGTGTATTTAGGCCATTCCCAAAGGGGGGATATTAACATGTTTTAATGCACAGTAGAATTGTAAATGGGCTGATTTATCAATGTCATGCTCATACTGTGCCGCAACAACATTAGGGGAGCGGCTGCTTTTTCTTTCCTCATCCTTACTATCGTCTTTTTTTCCTCTACTTCTTTTGTATGTTTGTCACTCTCTTGTGAAATGCTTTTTCCGGGGTGCCTTAATAGTCGAAGCAGACTTTGTGCTGTTGAGGCTAGAGGGGTGAACGGAGTAAGCCTGATTCCCCGTTTGGACTTCTCTGTTGATATCCACCCCTTGGCACTCCTATGACTTTTTACAATTGCGAGTGCCGAAAAACTTTACTGCAACCAAAAGTAACTAAAACTCAAATGTTTTCCCTCCATTTAATGAATTAAATAACCTTTATAGCTATGTACTTTTCAACAAACAAACAAAAGTGAATTATTTGCCCGGTACTAAAGACCTGTTTATTGTTATGCCATTTTTAATTCTTATTCTATTCAGGCTTACCAGTCACACTTGTGAACTCAGGCCTGTACCCTTTCCTCATCACATTCATCCTTGATGCTGTTGTACAGGTAATGTCCATTCCCCCCCCCACACACACACATACACACTCATCGCCATCAAACAAATAAGCTCTGTCTACTAATACATACTGATGGACATGTTATGTACATTAACAGAAACAACCTCATTCAACTGCTCAGACTCGCACTCACATACCGACAAGGACATGATTCGCAAGCAGACAAATATATGCACAAAAAACACACATGCGCATAGACAGACTGATAAACAAATGACCATGAACGATGGTGCTCATGTGACCTTATGCAGTTGCGAGTGCCGTAAAACCCTCTACTATGAAAAAAAAAAAAACATGAACGGAAAAAAAACGTATGCTAGTTTTCTTGTCCTGTCAGTTTTGTGTACGTACTAGTTCACCCTGATGTTCTTTCAGCAATGTGTTAGGCTCATGCTGGTGTGGGAGTCACATTTATAAGCAGCTGTGATAATGAGAATTTTTATGTAATGAATGTTCATTAGGTGTGCAACAGCTTTAGGTTTAAAAAAAAAGAAGATTTTTTGGTAAAGGTTTTACTGCGCTCGTAACTGCATAAGGTCATATGAACGTGCGGGGCACGTTCAACAGCTTCAGCTTGGGAGGAATTCATTTTGGATTTTTGCCTGGGTGGTGGCCGAAACCTACTTTTATCAACCTCAGGATCACCAAGGGATCTTTAACGTGTGCAAGTTGCACACATGACCTCTGAGATTTTTCGACTTTATCCAAGAAGACTAGGCGTTAGATCTTACTTACCCTAAGATCAGGGGTGTGGCTGAAAGACAGCAGTAAGATAGAGCCAAAGAGTAGCAGTAGAAAAGAAGAACATGGTTAGAGAGCAGGAAAGAGGTGAAAAGAGAAAATTTTCTGCGGCTGTCAGGTTTCGAACCCAGGACCTATTGAATGAGAGGCAAACGCCGTACCTCTGGACCATGAGAGGCCCCCAGTTTTAATATTCCTTTTTATAGAGATTGTTCTTATATTGGTTGGAAAAAGCCCCTGCTTTTTATTTTTGTTGGGTTTTTAAGTTTTTAAAATGGAGAATACCTATAAAGAGAATGAAATGGAAGGAGGCTTGAGAGGATTATGCTCATATGTTGTATTGGTCTAATTTGATCTACTTATATTATATAATATGCTAGACTAGCAACAGTATCCTCAACTTTGAAAGGACCATGGGTATTTGATGATTATTCTTGTGTAGTTTACTCCTTCTTTCCTATCTAACATCTGTCATCCTTATCATTCTTTCTTTTCTGTGTATATTCCTCTCTAGTAACAACTTTAATCTTCAGCACTTATTTGTGTTGCAAGTGCTGTAAAACTCATACGAAAACTAAAATTGAATTATCTGTCAAGCATATGGGTTTAATTTCTCTATGAACACTATTAGGTTATCTAAGAGGTGGGACCTCTGAATTTAACATATGTCTCCGATAGGACTGAGCCAAATGGGTTGAAAGCCTTGAGAACTCCACAAAGCAACCTGAGCTCAAGAGCACCCAATCTGGGATTTGAACCAAGGCCATCCGTTCCGTAGTCCAGCATGTACCAACTGAGCTAACCAAATGCCCTGGACCTATCTGTGTGTTGTTGGGTGCTCAGATCATGCAGAAACAATGACAGAAATACGCCAACATCTATTGCTGTAGCTTAACTCATTCAGTATGTAATTTAAAAATTTAATTTGGCATTTGAAAACCATTTGGATGCAATTAATGTGTGACCTCATGAATCATTTTGAGAGTTTGGGGGATAAAACGACCTTTACAGAAATGGTAGTGAATGTTATAGTTGCAGATATATATTATTGGAAAGGTTATTCAATGTTAATGTTCAATGATTTTATAAAAGCAGAAGGATGGAAAAATGATGAAACAAACTTTGGATCCAGTTCAAATTGCGGATATATTGGAGATGCATCCAAATGTGTTCCCCAGAAGTCACCATTATATCGACAATACATCCGAAAAGAGTTAACTAACCAATTTTTCTGACTTGTATTACAGTCCCTCTTGGTCCACTTTTTTGTGGATCTCCTACAACGGGCAGTGGCAGCTCAACATGTTGAGCAAAGGGTAGGTCTAGACAGATCGACTGCTCAGTGTAAGACTCCATCGTATGTCTTTTTTTCTAAATGTTGTATAGCAAGCAGTCAAGATAGAGTTTTCTGCTGTCAGTCCAGTCTCAGAAAATTAAAACTTTATGTTGTCCAACCTGTCAAAGATGACTGTGTGGTGTCGAGATAAAAAGCGGTCATCTTAGAGAAGTGGTCTTCTTAATCTGAGGCAGATGAAAGTTAAGAAAAAGGAAACGTTTCCCTTCTGACGTCCAAACTAGAGGTAGTTAAAGGCTTTGCCCGCTATAAAGCCCATTAAAATGTTTGTCATTTGGAAAGAGGAGGAAAGGAGTTTTGGGTTTTATTGTGGATGATGTTGGTTGGGGTTTTAAACATTTTTAAAACTTTCCCTTCGGAGTTTCCACCGGTTCTGACTTTTTGTGGAGGTGCAAGACTACGGTTTTCTATCACTAAACACTCTTTTTGCTTGTTCACACTCTGTCCTAAGTTGCACCCTGTCAGGATTGATTTGAGTTTGTTTTTTCTCCAATGTGGACAATGAAACGGGACATTTTTCTGTCTCTGTCTGATGCAGGTGAATAAATGAAAATATAATATCAGTTTAATGTATCGCCCTTCCTTCCTATGGACATGAGCAAACACTTGAGTGTGCTCTACTTTTACTCCTCTGGGTTCCGAATGCAGTGTGTGGTTGCTTAAGATAACAGTCATCCCATGTGGGTTAAGTGCACAGGTCCTACTGTAAAGCTCAGGATAACATGGTTCATAGGATTTAAACCAAGAATCTTGTACTCGCAGTCTACAGGCCCTTTGAGGCCTTCAGGACACTATTTTGCAGCCCTTTTGTGACACAAAGTTTAGCTTAAGTGCAGCCCTCCCTGAAACAAAATGTGGCTGAGCTGTACTATATAAGAGGAAGTACTGCCAGGTCTCTGACTCCCAGCAAGGAGTATGTAAGAGATGCCTGTGTTCTGAAGAACCTTCTTGCCCTAAACTGCTATTAATAAAAATTGAGAAGATTATAGAAAAATAATTGAAACTTTTTGAAAAATGTGTGTGTGTGTGTGTGTGTGTGTGTGTGTGTGTGTGTGTGTGTGTGTGTGTGTGTGTGTGTAATACTTGATGTGGCTTAGGCTCACCCAGGCTATACCTCTAGCAACCCCGGGTAATTAGAATTTGAGTTCCCGGGTTTAGACGTTGCGGTGGGAACGTAATTACGTAAATGAGGGAAATGTAAAAATGTATGTTTATCTCCCAATATAGGTGGATTAATGCCGTAGCTCTGATTGTTTCCAGCACTGAATGATCATTATTTTTTTGGTGCATGTTTGTTAAGGTAACTATCTATTTACAGAGAAACATATTTTAATTTTTAAGCTGTCATTTATATCTAGTATGTAAATGTCATATTTTATTCCTGTGTTTCATGTTATGACGTGATTACTTTTATATCTTCTATCACTTGCTGGCCTATCTCTACCTGTAATATATTTTATGGTCGCTGTGCTTTTTTTTGACAAGTGTGTCGTTGATTGGTGTTCTTATATGGTCGTTTATGTCCTGGCTTGTTGAAACTTCTATAAAAAGAAACAAATAAAGGAACAATTTCCCCCAGCTACTACATTCCACTCCACACTCTCACACATGCACACACACACACACACACACAGACACACAATCATATAAAAACAACAACAACAACTGACAAAACCTGAAAAATCCCAGTAGCAATAACAACAAAAGAATACAACCAACAAAAGCACAGCGAGCAAACACGCAAAGCAGTTCTTTTTTTTCTTTCTGATTCTCTATGTGTGAACACAGGAGGAATCTGTGCCACTGAACACCATGTTAGAAGAGGACATTGACCTCGAGAGTGATGATGGAGATGAACTTACCAATGGTGAGGGATGGCCCATGGGCTTGTGTTGTTGTGATGGGTAACTGAAGGCCGCCCCTGTTAAAGTGCGCCTCCTTGTCTCTCTCTGCAAATCATTGGAAAGCTGTTAAAATGTACAAGTTGCAGAAAACAAAATATTGGGAGCGAAAAAACCAGTTTCATTCTTTTAACAGTTGCCCCAAAATTGTGTATTTTTTCTTGATTTTATTTTTTCAACATGTGGAATTTGAATTTCTACAGCTCACGCAACTGATATCACAGATTAAGAGTCTGTAATAAAAGATTTTTTCCAAAATTTTAGGCTAAGTAGGCTACATTTTATAGCTAGCTGGTCAACAAAATCTTTTTGTAGTTCCTTCCTTTTTGTGGATGGTTGGAGGGTGAGGGGTTTTTTTGTGTAGATTTTGCATCTTTATTTCCTCTTTTGTTTCTGTCTGTCATAATATTTTCCTGTGATAATTGATCATTATCATTGTAATATCATGTTGGTGTGCATCTCTTTACGGAACAAATTCAAAACAAATTGTCTGAGCCAATCCAAGTTCAATGGGATACAGCAACCCTGTAGAAATATATGTAGAGGAATGAAAGGATTGTTGAGGGCAGTTGTCTCTATTGTGGTCTGTTTTGTTCAGTTCTTTTAGTGTTACAATTTTAAAGTCTGTTCTGAATTAAATGTGACTTCATTGTGCTGATTGGTCTTACTTAAACGACACTTCAACATCAATAACGACTGTGCCATGCCATTCACTTCTTTTGCCACCTTTTCATTCTGTTCCTCCTCGTGGTTCTTTGGCGCTAACTTACCTAGAACTTTTATAATGAGCTCGGTTAATGTACTTTTCAATTGCCTAGCCTAACCGAATGTTTCACTCATTTATTGGGACTGTGGTACGATTTTTGTCCTCACTTGCTCGCTTAGTTTCTCTTGCATGACAAATAGAAACAACAAAGGGAAAGAAAAGGAGGACCTACCACCAGCAGCGCTCTCCAACCACCTGTGTTTTATATCTCTCACACACAATATATCTGCCATTGTACATAATCGCCATAAACCACAGTTCAACAGTCAGTCTCTTTTGTATTGCTTTTATCATGTATATGTTAGCCCAAACACATTGATGTGCATCCCATCTCTACAAAAGCTCATTTGAATTTACAATTGCCCGTTTAACAGGCTGATACCATCTGTTTTACCTCTCAGGCCAAGGGGAAATACCCATTGTTTTTTTGCTGAAGTCATTCAACCCTTTCCACCATTTGTCCTGCCTTTGTTTGTAGTGTGCGGAACTCATTTGCATTTTTAATCGTCAGAGGAAGATATTTTTTAAAATGGGTTTCCTGATGAAAGCTTTGCGCCTTGGTAAAACAAAATTAATAATATTTAGCTATTTTGAGCTGAATCTAGAATTTTCCTTTTTTGTATAATCGGCTTCGGTCGAATAATGATAATAATAAATGACATTTATATAGCACTCAACCCCGAATAAAGTACACAGGCTCTGAGCACTTTACAATACAGTACAACATACAACAGTAACATAAAACGTGTTCTGACTAAAGAAAATTATTCCAAATATTAATCTTATTAATTTAAAAACAGAAACAACTTCTGCTGACATTTGAATGAATCAAAAGATTTGATTTCTCTCAAAGTACTTGGTAAAGCATTCCAGATCTTGGGGCCTTGGTATTCAAATGCCCTTTCACCCATAGTTTTAAGTTTCATAGATGGTAAAATAAATTTCTTTTTGTAAGCTGATGACCTTAAACTGCGAGTTGGAATGCACAGTCTTAACAGATTTGATAAATATGATGGTGAATTCAGAGGAAAGAAAACTCCTCTCCTGACACTACTCATATTGAGTGAAGACTCTTTATCCAGGACTTAAAACTAGGGTTGTTTGTCCATGTGCTGACTTTGAAATTATTTAAATCCTCTGTGGTTTGATTTTCAGCCCAGGGTTTGAAACTTGTCACACTTTCAGTGCAATTCACAGGTGCCATCATGAAGGGAAAGATGCAGCACATCCGAGAGGTCCCACTGGTCCAGCCTCCGAACCTCCACCTTCTGGGCAAACTGTTCCTGGGTTGCGGCTTGCAGCAGGTTTTTGATATGCTTATCATCTTGCAATTGTGAGTTCCTTAATTTTTTAATTTTTGTTGCCTCACCAAAAGTCTGTTTTCTGTTCTTTTCTTTTTTATTAATAGGTTTTGAGCCATGAACCTATCTCGTAGTTTCTAATTATCCTAGTTAAAAAAGTATCCAATTTTTAAAAAACTGGGGTTTTTTTGGGGGGTTTTTTTGTCTTGGGTTTTTTGTTTTCGGGAGGGGGGGGGGAGGCATGTTCTCTTTTTTAACTTGTTCATTTTATTCAATAGCATTATTTAAAATATGGTCTGAGATCTGGTCTAATTTATACTAGTGCGTAAGGACTGTTGTGAAATTGTTTCTATTGTATTGTTTCTATCCCTGATCTCCTGTTTGTGTCCTGTAATGGTTTTTCTCATGGTTACATTTTATACTCTGATTTATTAGTGGGTGACAAAGTGAGCAACCTGATTTTACTTATTTAAAAGAGTTTTGAACTAGTGCTGGTTTCTGAAGGTCAGAATATTTCTATTTGTATTGCATATTAAAATAAAAAGATTTTGTTTCCGGATAGAAAATAATTTAATCATAAAATTTAATTTGGGTTTCACTGTTTATAAAAGAAGTTGTGAATACTTTTTGTGCATGCATTGATAAAGATAATGTGACAGAGGTTTGATGAAACTTAAATAAAATTACTTCCGTTTTATTAAAGCCTTGCATTCAATGACAGTTGGCTGGAAAAATTGATGATACATTCTTAATGGTGTCTTTGTTCTTCCATCTTGTTCACTTCAGCATTGCTCTCCTTGTTTGCTACGCCTTAGCCGGGAGTGAAGCTTTTGCACAGCTCATTGGAATTGAGTAAGTTCATTACTGTATGTGTCACGACGTGGCGGAATTTGGCACTCTTCAATTTTTGAGCTGATAGATTTATTGTATACTCTTAAGTCTGTCCATTTGCTTTATTTTCAGCCATCTATTTTGAATAGAAATAAAGATACCTGTATGTTATATCACTTTAATTTTTTTTAATGTTCAAAATTAAAAGAAAAATGAAATAACAAGGGTGCTACTGTCATTCCTTTTTTATACCATGCCATGCTGTTCAAAATGAAAAGAAAAATGAAATAACAAGGGTGCTACCGTGATTCCTCTTTAATACCATGCCATGTTATTTTTTTTCTCTGTCCACACAGCCACTTCTATGTGATCCCTGTGTTTGTCTGGGTACTCACCACGGCTATTGTGTTTGCCCTGAGCCTTATACAGCCAGTGGTCTCAGTCCTGACCTTCGTCAAAGGCTCTCTGTTGTTGGGCACGGTAGGTGGAGTTGTTGTTGTTGTTGTTGGCGGTGGTGGTGGTGGTGGTGGTGTTTGTGGTGCTGATGTTAGTGTTGCTCTTATTGTTGTTGCTGGTAGTAGTGGTTGTGTTGTTGTGGTTGCTGATGTTGTTTTTGTTTTGTCGTTGTTCACATTGTTTTCATCCATGTTAGAGTTGTTATTGTTGCAGTGTTTGGTGTTGCAGTCATTTTTTTTTGTTGTTTTTTTTTATGCGGTCATTGGTGTTGTTGTAATTGTTGATGTTGTACTCGTTTTTGCTGATGATGTTTCTGACTGCGGGCTGCTGGTGGATGCCCTGTGTGGTGTGATCCCTCTACTCTAGTGCCTGTCAACCTTTTTATAGCCAACGTTTGCCACTGTTATGTGGTTACAATTTTTTGTACTGTTCACCTGTATGTATTTACAGGCTGGACATAAAATAACACCTGCTACTTCCCAAGTCATCCCCACTACCCACCAAAGTAAACAAATGTTCCCACTGTGGGTGGTTGGCGGGTGCTCTGGTATGGTGTGCTACTTTTTTCTTATCAAACATCTATTATCCTTATCTCTCCTCCTCCTTTTTTGTGCTTTTTACTCTCTTGTAATACCTCTAATCTTCAGCACTTGTGTGACCTTATTGTATTACAAATGCCGTTAAAATCTTACTAAAACTATCATCTGGCAAGCACTGCTCTATTTCTTTCCAAGGTTACTATTGCATTAATCTATTCCTGATAAATTCCTTTGGCCTGCCATCTCCTTTTAGTTTTTTAAAGTTTTAGTAGAGGGTTTTACAGCGGCGCTCGCAACTGCATAAGGTCATATGAGCGCCAGAAGATTAGAGGTGTTACAAGAGAGCAACATACATAAAAAAGAAGAAGGGGAAATAAGGACGATAGATGTGTGATAGGAAAGAAGGAGCAAACCACACCAGAGCACCGGCCAACCACCCACCATCTCCTTTTAAACAACAAGGCAATACCTGCCTCTTTATTTGTCAATGACTTTGACGACTTCCAATCAGTAAAGTGGGTGTGGAAGAGGAGTTTTTCCACATCTAGGATAAATAATATAATGCTTGATATTCCGTTGAAGTAGCGGTTACCCGTTTACTACCAGGTGTATGAAGTTATACCCCGCAAAAGTAGTGATGATACAGTTGTTTCTCTTTTAGAAATTATATTTCCATACGGTAGAGCGTAATTTGTGACTTGAATGAGTTTCTTGATTGTTTCAGTCGGGTTGTTGTTTTTTTTTAGGTGAGAACTGGGATTCAGAAACATGTTTATCTCTCTTTTATGTAAATTTAAACTCACTTTTTGCAAGTGGTTGGTGGGCACCACTGGAAGTCCTTACTTCTTTATGGTCCAACAATTTTTATTTTTTTGGGTGTCTTGCTTTGTTCGGACAGTTAATTATAAGTATTGTGTCTCTATAGTCTTAAATCTCATTTCTTTAATAATGAACTCAGGTAAAAAAAAAATTGTTATCTTTGTCTACAGGCCATGGTCACATTTTATGTAGGACTTACAGTAGCAGAGGAGATCAGCAATGACTTTTCCTACATTGGAGCCCCTTTCTTAATGGGCACAGTAGCTCTGGGTAAGTTGCTGGTTAATATGTTAGTACCATATATGCTCGTAATCAATACAAGGGATTTTTCCTTTGAAAAATTTGATTAAAAAGTATACAACCCCCCCCCCCCCCCACCCTTTATTATGCTCGTGATATGTAGCCAGAATCGAGCCCAACAATGGAGAAGTAATAGCATAAGACTTTCAATTGAACATGCCGATTTATTTAAAATATGAAAATTACGCCGCATTATTTTCTGTTATTACACTTTAGAAATTTTGTTCTTTATACAACTGTATGAAAAGCATTGTCGGTGTCTTTATCTTTCAGTTCCTGTTATTCTTTTGAACCCGCTTTACTGGCCACCTGCATGACATATGACAATCACCTGTACAAACAGCCACTTCTCATTTCCCCCTTGTGTATTTTTCACATTATAATGATGCTGTGTAAGATGGCCCCTTGTGTAAAACAACCACTTTTCTCCTTGACTATGGATGGAAGTCTTAGACAGTTTTGACTGTAATCCTATTGATTCTGTTCACAGGTGGTGTATGTAACACTATGCCGTACACATTTGAGAAAGTGCCTTTCAAAAAGAACTCGGTAAGGCTCTTTGTCTTTTCTTTTGATCCTGTATTCCAGGATTTCAGCTGTACCTTTGATAGGTTACTGTTACCTCTGTATGATTGTGCACTTTTTGTTTGTGATTAACCCCTTCAAATCTGCAGGCAAATGGGCCCCTGTTCTGGGGGGGGGGGGGGTCCCATGAACCCAGGCTGCTCAGGAGTGACCCCACTGTACCTCCCATAATTTTTTAATTCATTAATCTTTTCTCATGAATTTCTGCCTATACATTTTGCATTAAACCACATTTCTATGGATATAATTTCAGGGGAATTTCATTGAGAGATTTTTTTTTTGGTAAGTGTTTTACGGTGCTCGCAACTGCATAAGGTCATATGAGTGCGCGGGACACATTAAACATTTTCAGTTCGAAGGAAATATTGAGAGATAGATGGAGAACAGTTGGAGTTAGTAACATGATGTGAAAGAACAACACCATCAAACAACATAAACAACACACATTCGAGTAATGATAAACTGAGACCAAAAAAGTGGGAATACATGTTGTGCAAGTGTTTGCTGATAAAGTTACCTTATAAAACGCTCGTACAATCCATATACATGTAAGCCCATCTGTGTTTACTGCCAGTAGGCTAAATCATTTTTGTGTGGTTGATGTGTTAGATCTAGATCTAGACCTAATTTTCTCTTCAAACTAAAATCTGAATCTGACACTTTCAAATGGGGGAGGTTGGGGGGGGGGGGGGGATGGAGGTAAACATAAAGGGAAGGTACCCCACTAATGATTACAAGATTTTAGCTTTAACTTCGCTTATAATTGGTATTAAAACAACCTCTGTCACAGTCCCGTAAATTCTGCGGGCCATAGGCTCAGCGCTACATGGTTCAGGCCCGTAAATTCTACGAGCGCATCAGCGAAGAGGTTAAGTTCCAAACCTATTTCTAGATTTAGCTTGTATAAGAGTTTTTATAGCTTTGCCCAATATTTTATTGGATGTCATCTTCAGTTGGAGGTTCTGCGCCTTCATTAGTCGAACACTATATTGAAAGGGGTGAGTAACAATCAATTTTTAATCAACTTGAAAACTTGAAGTGATTGTTGCTGTTTGTAATGATTGTATTTATATTATACTTTGTTTTCTCCTGGCTTGTTTTATTGTGGGTGGTTGGCGGGTGCTCTGGTATGGTTTGCGTCTTCTTTTCTATCAAACATCTATCGTCTTTATCTCCCCTCCTTCTTTTTTGTGTTTGTTACTCTCTTGTAACGCCTCTAATCTTCGGCACTTATGTGACCTTATTGTGTTGCAAGTGCTCTAAAACTCTTAATAAAATTTTTTTTTTTTAAAGAAAAGCTAGTTGAATCTCACTTGACCCAGACTGACCATGACACTCTCTCTGCTCACAGTTCTTAAGAACATTCAACAAAGTATACATGTTTCCTGAATTCTCCTACTATCATGTTTTCTGTATTTATTTGATACAACAGTTTTATTCAACAGTTTGTCTCTTTTAGCTTTGTGTTAGATGTTGTTTTGTTTAGTGTGATTGTTTGTTTGAGGGTTTTTTTAATGTTCTTTTCATAGTTGTTCAAGATGTTACTGTTTACTTGTCATGTTCAATAGCAGTTTCTTTTTCCCATTCGTTTTATTGTTTATGCCTTTTGACCTATGATTTTAATCCAAGAAAAAACTTGTTTGTTTTTTTCATTTATCATCGACCTTCATGTGATGCTCATGTCTTATTTCTTTGTCACTTTCCTTAAGGTGTTTCTGTCATGGTGAGTCATAATAGATAAAATACATGTAATGTATGTGTTGTGTTCTACTTTTGTTTTGTTTTTCCTTGCCTTTGCTTCTTCTTTCCTATCAAACATCTATCGTCCTTATCTCCCCTCCTTCTTTTTTATGTTTGTTACTCTCTTGTAACACCTCTGATCTTCTGGCGCTCATATGACCTTATGCAGTTGCGAGCGCTGTAAAACCTCTACTAAAACTAAAACTTTTTGTGTTGAAATAATGTTTTCAGATTATTTGGGTTTTTTTCCCAATTTTTATTTCTATTTTCTGTATTGTTGTTTAGTTCCGGCAATTTATTTTGAACTTCAGATCTCAAAGTATCGTCTGGCTGTTCAGCTGGGCCTGTGGACTTGTGTTCTGTTAAACATCTTATGGTAAGATTCATTCATTCATTCACACTCAGCTAGGAGAAAGAATCTTTGCTCTTCTCTGCATTGTCGGCACCCTGGATTTTTGTTGAATCACTGTCTCGTCACTCCTTTATTTGTGCTGTCAGTGTTAGTTCTTTCCACTTTCGGGCGGGTGGTCGGAGAGCTCTACTGCCAGGTCATATTTTTTTACTTTCCCCCTTGTTGTTTCTGTCTGTCTGTCTTGTCTGTTTTACTTTTTCTCAGCACCATATGACTTTTATTGTGTGGATGCGCTTTCTTTATTCGAAAAAACGAACAAACACATAATTACTCTTTGGAAAGGAAGAAGCAAATGTTCAAATTGCCATGTAGGACAGGTGTAGTTGGTTGTTAATTGGGGGGGGGGGGGGGGGGAAACCTAGGATAGTGTAGAAAGAAGGTAGTGTAATCCAAGTGACACACAAGTTTGGGTAGGATAGTGTTAGTCCTTACCTTAATCCTAACCCTTATTACCGGAATCCAGGGTTAGGGTTAACTCTAAGGAAACCTTTACCCTAATCCAGCAAATGTGAATGAATTGTTCTGAACTGGAAGTTTGCCAATCAAGGCTTTTTGCTTATGACTTGAAGACTGTTACCATTATGAGGATGATGCCTGGATATGAATTTTTCCTTGAATGAGAGTGTTGCCGGATGCTACTGTGGGTGGTTGGCGGGTGCTCTGGTGTGGTTTGCTTCTTCTTTCCTATCAAACATCTATCGTTTTTATCTCATCTTCTTTTTTTATGTTTGTTACTCTCTTGTAACACCTCTAATCTTCTGGCGCTCATATGACCTTATGCAGTTACGAGCGCCGTAAAACCACTACTAAAACAAAAAAACAGGGTGCTACTGATAGTACCTACTTCTTTTATTTCTGTCAGAAGTTCCTGTTTGACTGTTTTTCTAGTTGCCTGATGTAAAACTTACCAATGTGCTTCTCTCTTACTCAAATTTTCCAGGAAATACACTCTCTCTGTGCTTAGGCTTTCTTCTGACATAAAACAAAAGTGTTCTTTAGTGTTGTATGCATTTCCTGTATTTTATTATTGCGCTGTCCATATTTAAAAGATGACGTACTGTATGTGTATTGAAATTGTGATGCTTGCTTTAACCATCAGCTCAATGCTCAATCAAGAAAAAAGAGGCTTTACTCCTAGAAGTATGCTTTCTGGATCTACATATGTTGAATTCAGACATTTCACTTCAAATTCAAAGGAGCAGTTCTGGAAAATGTTTCTCAATATTTGGAAAGGCTACAAAGTTGCTAAAATTGTGAAACGAATTGTAACGTGATGTGTTGGGATAATAAATGTGTTGGAAGTTTTGTAGTCATAATGCTTTTACTATCTCAGACAAAAAGGATTAAGTTTAATATTCCTTTCCCATACTTTTGTGTGACAGTACAGTCTAACGTGTGTTTAGCAAAATCTGCGGGACAGGGAAATCTTTTAATTCATGTTTGAATTTTGCTCTGTGTGTGTTTTTGTTACAAAGAATATAATATACAACACAAAATTCGATACCTGAAAATCTGTTTGCTATGTACGTGTTCCATTATGTACCTGTTGGCTGTGTAAGTGCTTGTCTGTAATTTGAAAATAATTTTAATTTGTGATACTTATTCAGACAAAAACACTTCATGTGAATATAAATTTCTTAATTACTTTTTCCCGACTTTTCAATGTATGTCACTTTTGAAAATGGCATATGGCGGAGTAACCCTCAATGTAAAACAAACTTGTTCTGATTTTATGTCAGATTTTCAGACATGTAGCTCAATAAACGTCGCCAGTGCAATATTCAGACTTTTATTTTTAACAAACATTGTTAGTTGAATTGACAAAGTTTTTTCCTTCGCCTGTAAAATTTTGTTTTTGTGAGATACAACTCGAGCGTTGATTTGCTTTGTTCCTCACCATGATTCGTACTTTTTCATTCATGTTTTGTTCATTATCAACTTCTCTATCTTTCCAACAGGTGTTGGGCCGTGTTAGACATTGTCCCTCAGACGATCGCAATGGCTTGCTCCAATGAAGCAGGCTTGAGTCTACGTCGCTATGACAACGATAGTGGCAAGATGTTTTCAGGCTTGCAGACATGCTACGGAAAGTTGTCACTGGAAAGGTAGTAGCTTTTGTAATAGGAATAGTGTATGTGTGTGTGTGTGAGAGAGAGAGAGGGAGAGTAAAAGTGTGTGTGTGTGTTTGTGTGTATTTGTATATGAGAAGGAGAGAGGAGAGAACTGGGTAAAACTAAAGGTATTACTATCATATTCTATATGAGAACTCAGTCTATTAAAAACATTCTTAATGAAAATTTTACTGGTCTAATAATGGTAATCTACGAGAATCTTTAAGTAAGGGAAATAATCAGCCCAATGATGTCCTTGTTATTATTTTCAGTTGTTTCCCTTTAACATATTTTTTTTCTTGTCACATCAATCTTTGTTTTGTCGTTTTTGTTGAGAATTGAGTTGAGGTAAATATTGAACGCTCTCTACATATTTTTGCTTCTGAGAGGGAGGCGTATACCTTACCAGAAGTCCTCACCTAGAGTTTTATAGAACTTACCTCTCAAATAGGTCAGGATATAAGTTCTCAAGGTAAGGGGTGTTACTAAAGAGTAAGGTACATAGAAAAGAAGGTGAGATAACGGCAAGAGATGTTTGATAGGAAACCACACCAAAGCACCCGCCAATCACCCATGTACCAAATAGTGTTATATTAAAAATTACCTTGATATGTAATTCTTTAAAATCTATTGATGCTTGCTAGTGTTAAGAAGTACCTGAAATGTTGTAATTTGTGACACATACAAGCCATTGTACCTGAAGAAAATAGTGGGATTTCCACCCTCCTTTATTATCTAAATTGCTTTGAAATTTTTCAAGTTTATTTTATTTTTAAGCTCTTAGAGTTATCAGGGAGCAGGCGCTATAGAGGTGATATTAATTTCTTTACTCTGGTGAAGTGGTTAAGCTGGTTGGCTGGTCTGCCGTAAAGCTGACAAAACGACTATAAAAAGCAACTCGAGAAAAAAAGGGTTGTTTATTTTTTGGTCAGCATAACCATTTTAAAAAGGCGTTTTTACGAAATTTGAATTCTAATTGATTAAAAATAAACTAGTCAGAGTTTCACCTTGATATTCTTTCTTCACACAAGTAGGGTAACTGATCAAGCTTTCGATTTAGCAAATTAAAAGACATTGGTGCAAAAATTTGAAAAAAAAGGCGTTTTGTCAGCTTACGGCAGTGGTGTTCTGGTGTGATTTTTTTCTTCTTTCCTATCCAACATCTATCGTCCTTATCTCTCCCCGTTCTTTTCGTTGCATGTAATGTTACCTTTAGTAACCATTCTAATATTCAACTCTTGTATGACCTATTTGTGTTGCAAGGGCTGTAAAACTCTTACTAAAACTAAAAATTACTGACGACAGTGCGGAAGCTAACGGTGAGATCTCCACCCTGCCACTGACCAAACTGCTGCAGCGTGACCACCCGAGCTTCACGTGGGTCGCCATCTTGGTGGAGGTGTTCATCATGGTCAGCATCACAGTCTCCTACCTGACTATTGGCACGGCGCTGCACCACACACGTGAGTCAGTCTGTCGTCATCTTCATCATCATCATCATCATCATCATTGCTTTTCTCACCCTTGGTCATCATCGTCATTGCCTTTCTCTCCCTGGATCAGGATATAGGCCACGAACACTTTCCACCTTTCCTTATCCTGGGCTAGTCGCTTGATGTCACTCCACGTCTTCCTACTACTCTGTACATCCTTTTCCGTGACTCTTCTCCAGGTTCCACTTGTCTGATACGGACACTTTCCTCCTCCACAATAGATAATCATAATAATAGATAACATTTGTATAGCGCAAATCCCCGCTCAACAGCAAGCTGTATGCGCTTCACAATCTACTATTACCCCAGCAGACTTGTGAACATTCTGAAACAAACTCAACTTCCTGGGAAGCATACAGTGCAAGCAGCCATTTATAGGCGCTAAAACACTAACATACTGACAAGATCTTTTGCTGTCTATGACCGGGTACCCATTTCCACCTAGGTGAAGTGAGGAAACTTTGTGCAAAGTGTCTTTCCCAAGGACACAACGTCGGGCCCGCAGCTCGAACCCCCGACCCCGCAACCTCACGATTACGAGTCCGATAGCCTAACCACTTGGCCACCGACGCCTTGATGGTCGTCTTACACAGTTTCCACTGTATTTGAACAGCTTGCTGGTGATAAGTTCCTTGGAAAACTTTTGAGTATACACAGACAAGGGAGTCCTAAATAGTTTAAATTGAATCAGTATAGTATGGGTTTAAAATATTTACAATAAGTAATCAAGTACTTGTAGTTATCTTATTTCTGTTTCCCACTCTGTGTCTAGTGAAAGGCATCGTCCAGTCGTTCCTGGCGAAAAGACGAGGGTCCAGCACAGGCAAAGGGAAATCCAGCAAGACATCGGCTGCACACTGGTAAGTTTGTTCACCTCTGTGTGATAGATCGATTTTGTGTGTGTGTCGAAGAAGATCTTTGCTGAACATGTCCTAAGTAATTTTGTAAAAGAAGTTTTTATCCTACTTTTTTGGGGTAATTTTGCCAAGTGATACAGTTTTTTGTTGTGCTTACTGGTTAGTTTCTTCACCATTGCACTTAGAAGAGGTGAGTTTGATTTCCTTGTGGGGTAGCTTATTTTATAGAGTATCTCTTGTCTGTCTGGGGGGATATTGTATCTCATTCAGCCCTGCTTGACTTTAAACTGGCTCGATTCAAGCAGCCTATCTACTAAATTATCTAAATTGTATCAATACGGGTTTAAAACATTTACAATAAATGATTCTAAGTTAGTGTAGCCATTGTCAAGCCAGCATGTTTGAAGGACAGTTTGACCTGTTTCTGTGTACAAGAATTGGCATATATTTTGTGTTGTCTGAATGCCTTAGTTCCTGCCTTTGTATGAATGTGATTTTGTGTCATCTGTATGCTTTAATATATGCCATTTTATGAAAGGTGGTCTTTTGTCATCTGTATGACTTTGTACATGCCATTGTATGAGTTATGAGATTTCGTGTCATCTGCATTCCTTCTCATATACGATTGTATGAGTGAGCTTTTGTGTCACCTGAATGCCTTTGTATGAATGTTATTTTGTGTCTTCTGTTTTCCCTCGTACATGCCATTGTACAAACAATTTTTTTTTCTTCTCAGGTTTGCCATTACTGGAGTGTCACTGGGAGCCTTCACAATTGTCTTTGCCATCGCCATGGTTGACCCCGAGGTAAGAACTTGGCTGCTGGCCATCCGTCCTGTTTTGTTTTGTTCTCCTCACTAGATCATTGTTATTGTGAAGATGCCCTTCTCACTACTGAAATAAACATGAAAACGTGGCTCTCAAATCTCTATTTCTTTTGTTTCATTTTGAAATTGTTGTTGATATTTAATTTTTATGTTAAATATCTTTTCCTCTGTCTGTCTTTCAGCCACATAAAGTACTTTATTAGTTTTTGAGTCCCAACTGAATAAGTTGAGTTTAGTGTTCCCAAAGTTGAGAAGTTGCACCATGCTTTCACCATGCAATAACGTTCAAGGTGGAAACCCTATTGGACACTAGATCTGCTCTTCGCCATGTTGAAATTCAAGCTGTGGCATTGAATAACTTTTATCTTTGATAATTTAAATTTTTAAAGTTAAAATATAGGACATGACAGGTGCGCTGCCTTCCAACAAAACAGATGCTGTTCTAAAAATTTGGATTAAATGTTTTAACAATTGTGTTTAGAATTTCAATCACATATCCTATCATATTATCTTGATTTTGGTTTGTAGGGGGAAATTCATTTAATTGTGAGAATTACAATGAATTTCAAAACAATACTACGTGCTCATCGTTCGCATGAATGCGCTCACTGTGTTGCATGGATGTTAACATTAGGGGACACAATCATATTATCTTAAATTTGTTGTAAAATTATCTGTTACTTCCCTTTAGCTATACATGCTTGCAAGATGCTTCGATTGGAATCTGATGGTATAAGATAAAAATAGTAGATCCGTGTTTGAAGAAAGTAAATGGGCTTTCACCGTTTTCTGTAATGCAACATATATTGCACATGTATTGACACGCTGGCATTCACTTACACGCACATACACACCCACAAACATTCACACCACCACCATCACTCTCCACCCTATTTCACACAGACACACTTACTACCAGTTCCATAACTTTCCAATTTCACTGATGTTTTCAGAATGTTATCTTTAAGTAAATTTGAGCGCATTTTCTTTTAAGGGCAAAATTTTCTAATGATACAGATATGTGCAGCATTTCTCTATTATCTACCTTCTCCCTGACAGTTTTGGACATGAGTTTATGTTGAAAAAAGTCTTTTAGATTGTTTTGAAATGCTGAGTGTGTTCCATTCTTTTTTTATCCAGGGCTTTGTGGATATTCTGGAAAAACTTGTGTCCTTCACCCTCAACCTTGAAGTTGGACTGTTCTTCTTCCTTATGTTTATCTGGTCAAAGAGGAACTCGTATGTGTAAGTATTACATATTGGTTGGAGATAAATTTGGAATTACATGCTGTGACTGTGTAGGTAATAGACTTAATTTTCTTAGCGATAGTGAAAAATGAACAAGAATCAACTAAACTGTGGTCTCTTAACTCTTTGTCTCTGGAGTGGGTTTTTCCATATATGCTTGAGACCCCTTTTGATACAAAACCTGAGAGTGACATAGCATCTCTGAATTGGTGATTAAACTTTTGTATTGAACCTAATTTGATAATTCTTCATTTAATGATATAATGTTATGATGGTCGTAAAAGACTCTGACTCATTTGCTGACAGGGATTAACTGGCACATTTTCTAAGGTACTTATCTCTCCTCCTTCTCTTTTTAACTTACTCTTTAGAAACAACTCTAATTTTTGTCACTCATATGATTTAGTTGTCTTGCAAGTGAAATAAAACTCTTACTAAAACTTTAAAAAGTGAAATATGATGTTTGTAATTCCCAGGCATCTAGTTGTCCCTTACATGACCTCTCTGTTTTGCAAGTGTAATTAAACATTCTTACTAACTCGCTCTATCCTGTGACCGAGACATCTCGGTCAACTCGCGGGCTGCGTTCAATCCCATGACTGAGATAACTCGGTTCTATAGTTTTGTTCCGTATACTGGTTATTTTGTTTCAGAAAACAGTCTCAAGTTTTATATAAGGTCAATTTATTATTTCCTCGACAAATTCTGCCTAGAGGGGTGCTGAAATTTTGTTTCTACTGTCATTAGCCTACACATGAAGAAATCATGGTTTTTATGAATGCACTTTCAGCACGTTTGTTCGCACTATTCAACTGAGCATATGTCTTGCAATCAATTCTCTCTGCCTTTGTCAGTCATATTTTTTTTTTATTCATGAAAGTATTCAACAGTCTTTATTATACATGACATATAGATCTAGACTCTCACAAGCATATTAGAATATCATTGTATGCTCGCTCTTGCTCATTCAGCCATGAAAAAATATAATAAGCCCCCCAAAATGCCAAATTTGTACAACATCCCAAAGCAAAAACTACTAAAGTACATACTTCAAATTTAGTTTGTTTAAAGATCCATCATAGATTGTTCTTTGTGCCAAATGTCAAACCAATTGATTGATATATATGTGTGTGTGTGTGCCTAAAGAAAGGTACCAAAAGTCAGGTTTTGACCATTTTGAGTTAAGGGTTGTACCTTATACGAAATTCAATGCTGAGCACAGGGGTCTTTGAATTTTTTACATATCTCAAGTTGTTTCTAAGACATTGCACATTTTGTGAGGTAGGGGGTAATGATAGAATTTTGACAAAATGAGCTTTTAAGTTAAACAAAGGTGAGAACACATACAAACATTTTAAAAAAGATTTTAAAATGTTTTTATACATGGAAAATTCATGTCAAATTTGGCATTCAGTTGACATCAATATCATGAATGGAATTCAATAGTACAACATAGCGGGGAAGAGAAAATGTGCTTCAAGAATAGATTTTAACACCTTTTAAAATCAGTTTATATTATTTAAAAAAAATTATACCCAACCTTCAAAATAATTCAAAATAAAATATTTAGAAGTCAAATCAATGAAAGCCCTTTGAACAGATTGTAAAAAAATGGTCGATCTATCATTTTGTTATGGAAACACATTTTGATAAAAAAAAGTGATTTTGTCAGTATCAGCCTGTAGCAGGAAACGGTTTGGGCGACTTTTGGTACCTTTCTCTAGGTGCACACATATATCACATTTACTAGTAGACTCTTACATAAGTGCCAAGATGAATGGTTTCTGGGTACGATTTCGAGTTAAAACTGTAAAACTAAGACATGTCGTTTCTGTTGTGCAGGCACCTAGAGGTTCCCTTACCCATGTCCCAGTGCCTCTACTACCTGATCTACCTGCTGCCTGTGTTCTTCAACTTTGCCGTTATCTACGATGTCTACAATACGGTGATGGACATTGCCTACCCCCAACAGCACCAGAAAATTGTCTTCAACGTTTCATCTTCCACGACTGTTGGTTCAGTCCCTGACAACGCGTTTACCTTGAATACTACAGTTTCGACGACCACCACGACACCTTTGGCCGACAATGTGGGTGCTACAAATTCTAGTTTGAATATGCTTTGATAAGGTTTTTATTTTTCTATTTCTATTTCTGAAGAGTGCCTTTCAAATGTCATCATGATTTATTAAGACCAATGATCTTTCAGCATTACAGAAAAGGGGTTTGTTTGAGGGACTCTGCAGACCATAAAACCGACTTTTTGTATGCTCCAGGATTTTACTGTTTGGTCCTGGGATCTTTATTTATGTTCGTCGTTCTTCCCCAAGATAAGCAATACTCATGGTAATCAAGATTTTGGTGGTTTCAATCCATACTGCTTTAAAAAAAGCCTCCGTCTGTTCATCATGCGTGTCGCAACAGGCTGTTTGTTGAGTTGGTGCATCATTGGTCTTTGTTTGAATCCCCAGTGGGATGTTCTTGAATTTGAGTTGTTAAATCTTGAAGGGCGTAGCGGACACGTATGTCTGACCAGCAGCAGACCAAAGCAATTTTGTGGCATAGAGCAAGCCATCAAATCAGAAACATGAATTTGTTATATCATAGCATGTGCTGTTTCTTACTTTTTAAGTTTTTGGATAAAGATTGCAGAATTGAACAATCTACTTTAATAACAAAATTACGCTTCTTCTTTTGTAGTGTCCTGAAGCAATTATTGTCGAATGACCAGAATGCGTGTCATCAATGAGTGAACGGTGTTTTCAAGGCTTTCCTCCTACTTAGCCCAGTCCTATCGAGATGGGTTTTGCATTAAGAGGCCCCTCCAGTTGAAGATTTCTACAGTGTTTATCGAGGGGTTAAAAACGCATGAATCAATTACTCGCTTATCGTGGATGTTGGGAGACTATGAATTTGACTTATCTTACAGCTTTGGTGATCAATGCTTTTTGCTCTTGATCTACATTTTACTCACCCATGATAGGATCTCAGTGTACACAAAGAGTTTTTCTCAATTCTAAAAAAACATGCTTAAAAAGATGTGTACTAAAACAATTTCTCCTCCAAATCGGATACACTGTTGGTTAGTTGAAAATTTGAAGAATAATTCTCATAAGATATGAGGGTTTTATTATCAACATGGGAAATTTTTCTCAGGGTTGACGACTGTAGAAATGAAAAGCAAGAACACTTTGAAGTCAAATAATGCACAGTGGCTGTACAAAATACTAATCGCACAAACTCAAGGTATCTAAATATCCTGCACGTTACTATATAGACTGTTACTCTGCGGGATCGCACATTCTTGCTTAAGTTGCATGAAAGGTCCCTAATGACTGGGTGCTTTTTCTTGCACTAGAGAGAAAAATTAGAAACAGCAATTTATAGATAATGCTGTTTGCCAAAAGAAACAAATTGTATAAAGCAAGATTCTTTAAAATATGTGTCAAAAGTGTTGATCACGAAATGACAAGAGTATGAGAAAGAAATATATCATAAGTCCCTTTGTCTTACCACAGATAGATGGTTGGATGGTCGCACTGGTGCATCCTACTTTTTTTTACATTTGCTTGTGTGTGTCTTGTTGATCTTGCCTGTCTTGCTTTTTTCCAATTTCTACATGACCTTTTCCCAGTCTTTAGATGCGTTTTTTTTCCAGTTTCTACATGACTTTTTTCCAGTCTCTAGATGAATTTTTTCCAGTCTCTAGACGACTTGTTCCAGTCTCTAGATGCCTTTTTCCCCAGTTTCTAGATGATTGTTTTCCAGTCTCAAGACGATTATTTTTTTCCGTCTCCAGATGACTGTTTCATCTCGACCAAGCAAATCTTGCCATAGAACATAATGCTCTAACCGGTGTCTGCTGTGTAATAGTAAGGTTCTCTGCCGTTGCACACAGAAAATTTGAGTTTGGTTCCTGAGCAGGGAAGCTTTTTTATCGAATATCTCTGTCTGTTTGCTGGGATGTTGAATAGCCATCTACTGTGATGTGGTGGTTAAGTGCTTTACTGTCTCATGTAGGAGACCTAAGTTCTATTCCCAAGTTGGTAGAAATTTTTCTTGAGTGTCTCCATCTAATGGGATGTTGTATCCCACACATTCCAGGCAGGTCCTGATAGTCAGGATTCGGAGAAACAGAGTTCCTGAGTGTTTTAAATTATGTCAACTGGGGTTTAAAACATTTACTATAACAGTTACATTATGCTTTACATGGTGAATTGATGTAGTTTTACGACAGAAGTGAAAAAGATGTCTTATAAATCTATCATGATCTGTTAGCTTTGAAAATCATATTTCCTGTACAGTGGAGTCATCTTTGCTAAAATCTGCGGTACCATCAGATTTTCTTCAATTTGGCTGGGTTTTCGGTTTAGAGAGGTTGCTCAAATAGTAAAAAAAAAAGAAGGGAATTGTGTTTTCTTTATGTTTACCAATGTTTTTGGATGAATTGTATTCAGTTTAAGCGGACTATGTCGTATTTCGTTTTTCTCTTGTAAAATAAGCTGTCTTGGAGGTATCTTCTTTACTACAACTGATACCCTTGATGGGTTTTTAGTGGACTTTGTTGTATGTTTTCTGTAATATGACTGTTATTCTTTAAATGTACATCTCTGTATTCAAATTCAAAGTCAAACTGTTTTATCTATTGTGTCAGCTTAGTTGACCAATGGTTGATTGAGAGAAATGCCTAAAGTTGGTCTATCTGGAGAACTCTCAATGAGTGAGTTCTGGTATTAGGTTCAATAGAGTTTAGTGTTATTGTGTTATATTTCCATTTCCTTTCCACATTCTCTTTTCTCCTTTTGCCACACATTCAGACGTGTTATATGTACTTTGTTTTGAAGATATTATTTTGTGAAAAATGTGTTGTGATTGCATTTATCCTAACAATTGCATTTCCATATATATTCATTTGTGCCTTTCCATATTTCCCAGGAGAGGGAAGATCAGAGCTATTGTTGTTATGTTAGCCATGGGTGTGATGGATTTGACTTGATAAAGAAATTTTATTCATATATTCACAGATGTTGCTAGATTGTTGCTTTTTTTCCCCTTTTTTTGCAGAATTCTGAATTCTGCTACTTTTTAAAGCATACATTAATTTATCGGTTAATATCAGGCTTGTGGTAGCACAGTCGATATTGTTCAAGATGAGTGTCCATTGGAGAACAGTAGTTGTCTTAGAGCGGGGGACATCTTGGACAGTGTCAGTCTTATAGAAAAAACGCAAGGGGTTGTAAGTAGTGGAAAATGGTTGTCAGTACAGGTGAATGTCTAAGACAGGAGGGCTTTAGAGCAGGTTCCGTTGTATTCATTATAACTGGGACTCTCAATTTGGTTGCAGTCCTGGTGCATCTGATTCAATTATGAAAGCTTTAACAGTTCTGAAAAGGTTTCCACAGACTTATGGGGCCTGAAGCTATCAAAAGTAGAACAGACATGTGTTAAATTATCGAGAACCGTGGGTTCTGTTCTGTTTGTCTTTTACAAATTTGTTCTAAACATTTAATTAAAGCACCTTGCAGAATTAATTGGTCGTTTGAAATGATAGCTCTTGTTTGTTGCCCTGGCAGGAACAGACTGTGAGAGGGATTGTTCCATGAGGCTAAAAAGAACTCTGACTGCTCTTGCAGTCACTTTTCTATCCTACTTGCCCTGGAATTATGAGCTGAAAATGTGTGTAAAAAACAATTAACTCCCCCCCCCCACTCACACACACACACACACACACACACATACCATAGCATGGTCACTGCGCCTGCGAAATGTCACTTCTCATTTTTACTACTTTTGAAATAGATGGGAAAAGGAAAAAACTGTTTAAGTAGACTTTATCATCTAATAATGGTATAACTTGCCATGCATATTTATTTTGTGACTGCAATCGCTTTTTCGTTTTGGTTTTACCAAAAGGTAAATATAGTACCGCCAAATAAAATAAAACACTTATTTTGGCACAATTTTGAGTTATGCTATTTTGCTTATACATTGATAATATTTCGTGCATGAACCGGCGGGGAATCGACTAAAGTACTTTGGTGTTGGAGTTGAGTTCCTTGTCTCAAGACTTTCATACACCTGTGTGGAGAGAAAAGGAAGATGAAAAGGAAAGAATGTTGCTTACTTGTTGTTGTTTTTAAAAAAAATCTCTGCCTGCAAGGATGTATTCATGAGTCATTATCATCATTATTTTAGTAATGTAATCGTCACAATGCGTATGTTTGTTTCTTTGCAGGGTGACCAAGCCTCCTTTGTATTCTTTTTTTACTATTTAACTTATATGACAGAATTGATGTACAAAGTTGTTGTATGTGCATATTGCTGCTTCTGAATTGCAAAGTTCTATCTGCTCAGTAGGCTACTTAGTTTTGAGAAATTTGATGTCAAAGATTTTGAGTTTCACCTCATGATATAGTTTTTCGAATGTAATTCTTTTAACTCATTCGGGACACAGGTTTTGGACCGGATTTGCACCCGGAGATGCGCGATTTTGGGTCAACTTTGAAAGTCTGCCATTTTGATATTTTTAAAGTCTTTTTTCACTTTCTACACGTTCAACATTTGGACTTTGCCTTAGATCTAACCCAGTTTGCCTGGATATATTCCTAAAATTGCCAGGACCCCTATAAAAATGGTGTATGAGACATTTAAAAAAAAATTGTCCTCTAAGCTGACAGTGAAGAAATAATGCAGAAACAGACAAGATAAAGTTACAACACAATTATAATGCAGCTAAAAACAAATCCCAACACAATTTACAGTCCAAATACTGTGAAGAAATAGTTTCAGTCATTGTGAATAGTCATTCTTTTTATGGTACTCCTCAAAGATCCATGCTCTTTGTCGCCCCCGACTGCCTTCATAAATCGCCACAGAAAATTACAAACAACGACCCTACACGGTCAAAACTAAATAAATACAGAATAGAATATGGCTTAGCAATGTCAACCAAAAGCTTGTTACCTGGAATACCTTCATTTGTGCGGATAAAAACGTCGAAAAATGCTATCGGGCGTACATCCGATGCGATGCGTCTCCAGTGGAGCTCGAGGCTATCGGATGTATTTGCGTCCCGAATTAGTTAATATAGTGATAACAGCTCCGAATGGTCTTACGATTGTGATAGAGCAGATGAAACATTTGGTTTGTGACCTCATGGTCTTCAGCCAGACATGTCAGAGAGAACTTTGTAATTCTGAGGTAGCGAAATGTTGAGGGAAATGTAATATGACTGCGTATTATGGCCAAAGTTAATGCATAATGTGAATGTCTGCTGTATTATACTGTATCTTTTAATGGGTGTTTTTTTTTCGTGCTCTTTGTTGTTTGTTTTTATGTTGGTTTTTTTCTTTCATGGATGGAAAAAGAAATATTAACCCTTTTCTGTTCACATTTTTCACCAAGAAAAACTGTCCGTTTGTTGAACTTCATGTGTTTAAAGCAGCCTTAAGCAGACCTTGTGCTGTTGAAGCTAGAGAGGTGAGCAGTCTAAGTCTGATTCCCTGTAAAGACTTCTCTGTTGACACCCACCCCTTGGTGCTCATATGACCTTATGCAGTTGTGAGCGCCGTAAAACCCTCTACTATATATTTTTTTTTATATTTAAAAAAGCAGCCTTCCCGCCTTCCTGGAAGTAAACCCGTTAGTAAATTGTGGTTGCTGCTGACCCGCCAAGTACTCCACCAAGTTCTGATCTCTTTGATTCTTTTTTTACTGGTCGTAGAACTCCAATTGTTTGGGGGGTTGTTTTTTTTAGAAAAACCTCCTATTTTTGGTCATGGAGTGGTTGACAGGTCTGCTGCTGATTCTGCCTCTGGCACACTTTCCTCACAAGAAGTGAAAACCTTATGCCAGAGATCTTTTTGTTTTATCAAACACAAGCTTTCCGTTCAGGAAATCTTGTTCATTACAGAAACAAAGCGCGTGTGTTTAACCCTAGCGCTGCTTTTTTTTCTGACTGGTCTTGGCCCAGTTGAATGTTATAGTCTGTCAATCTTAAAAGTAAAACGGCTTGTCAGGATTAACTTTTGACAGGATTCACCAATTTATTCCAAATTATGACGCTTAAGGTGTATTAATTTGTCTTAATAGGTTTGGAAAAAGGGTTTGCATTTGACCCAAAAAAGCGATGTTTTATCTTTGTCTTTGCTGCTTAGTATGAAATTTCTGCAAAATTTCAGTAATCATTTTTCCCATGAGCTGCATTTGAAACAAGGCTATAAGCAAAGTAAACACCTTTTGTTGTTAGTGACAATCAATACATTTACAATAACACACACCCAAGAATGCTTTAGACTCTGAGATAATGTTAATTAAGTGAACTTACTGATTGTTAGAAAGTAGCACTGTGCTGTAAGTTTGCTTTTTTTTAGGTTACCGCTTGTAAGGCAAAAATAAAGGCACTTCTCCCAGAAGCTGTAACTTCCAAAAAAAATTTCAAGTGAAAGCACAAACAGAAGTCTTCTGAATTTTAACGTTTTAAAGCCCAATAGAGAATCGAAAGTTATTCTAAAAAGTCGTTTTAATTTTGAAACAGACAAGGACATATAGCACTGCATTCAGCTGGTTAAGGAAGGCCTAAGATTGAACAGAAGAGGGTTTAAGGTTGGGGAGAAAATGAGGTACTGTTGTTGAAGAGACCTGGTCTGGCTTTTGAATGCTTTGTAAAATTTGTCTACTGGAAGTTGAATGTTAAAGAAAATATGTGTTTCAAGAGATCAAAAGACTGGAAGTTCGTACTTTCAATTTTTCCACCCATTCCCTCTAAGTTATTGTCTATTGAACTATTGTCTTGTTATTTCTCTCTTTGATATTACCCTGTCTATGATAATGTGCATAGTGTTGACTTACAAGTATTTTATTTTTTTTTTTTTTTTTGGTAGATGCTTCAGTCATTAAGGGATAGTGATTTGTGAACTCCATGAGGACAACCTTGTACTTGTATTACCGGTATTACCCGTCCTGGGCAACAACGTCATTGCACACTGGACAGGTCCATAAGTGCTCAGATCCCCCCAGCATAAGTACCTTGTACTTGTAGTAAGAATAAATGGAAGACCCAGGGAGTTATTGTGAAGTTTATTAGATCATCATCATGTACCAAATTTTCTATCATGGTTTTCTATTCATTACTTTTCCCGGATGCTCTAAAAAATGCTATGTTATCCTGATCTTTCCCTGTCTTCCATCTGTTTAGGCTTTCCAAGTAAGTTGTTCTCTCCCCCGCGGCAATGCCACTGACTGTAGTGTCTCTAGGCCATTCCCAAAGGGGGGACGTTTCTCGTTCAAGCACAGTAGAATTGTAAATGGGCTGATTGACATGTCACGCTCATAACTGTGCCTGATCTACAATGGGGAACTGCTGCTTTTTCTTTCTTAATCCTTACTATTGTCATTCTCCTCTACTTCTTTTGTATGTTTGTCACTCTTTTGTGACCTGCTATTTCCGGGGGTGCCTTGATAGTCGAAGCAGACCTTGTGCTGTTGAAGCTAGAGAGGTGAGCAGAGTAAGTCAGATTCCCTGTAAAGACTTCTTTGTTTCTCTGTTGACTCTCACCCCTTGGCGCTCATATGACCTTATGCAGTTGCGAGTGCCCTAAAACCCTCTACTATAATAATAATGATAAGTTGTTCTGGCTCTACCCCTGCCTCATTTGCCTTCAATTTGACCCGTGACTTGTTCAGCTGATAACAACATGTGTCATTTGCCTGTTGGAAGGTCTTGCTGGAGACCAATATCTTTATAAATATATGTATCCATGCTTTATAGTCGATGGGTGGTTGGAGGTCACCATTGGTAGGCATCTTGTTCTTTACTTTCACTCGGGTTCTTATTGTCTGTTTCCCTTTTGTAGGTGGTTGGCGGGTGCTCTGGTGTGGTTTGCTCCTTCTTTCCTATCAAACATCTATCGTCCTTATCTCCCCTTCTTCTTTTTTATGTTTGTTACTCTCTTGTAACACCTCTAATCTTCTGGCGCTCATATGACCTTATGCAGTTGCAAGTGCCGTAAAACCTCTTCTAAAACTATAAAAAAACGTTTCCCTTTTTCCCCAGAACTAAATGGCCATTATTATGTTGATGTCCTTGTCTTTACTCAAACAAACAAGCTTTATAGTGTCTGTGGTTATATTTTTAGCTGATCATCTGTTTACAATTTCATTACAAATTTATGTTTTCTCTGTTTTGATGTTTTTTTCCTGTTTTTCAGAAGTCAGTTCTCCCTCTTCTGAAAACTAGATGTTTTTATGGTATGTTACTGGTTGGTAATAATTGTTTGATTGTATTATTTTACAAAAGTGGTCGGTATTCATTATAATTTGGTAATATTATTTCATGGAAGTCCCCTCTGTTTAAGCAAAAATTGCCTAGAATAGATTGAAGATGCCATTGATTTATCCCTATATTAATGAACCAATTCTTGGGAGACCTGGAAACCTCAGTTTCATGTTGTGTCCCTATGTGATATGTCAAGTGCAATTGAAAGTATAACTTTATATGTTTTCTTATGCATGTATTTGCTTTATATATTGCCATAGAATTTCATTGTACAATTGTATAGAGGGCCATGACAATTTAGAATTTGCAATTTCTTTTAATTTTCCTTTTTTTAGAGGTTTATTTTTTTTTCTTCCTCTTTTCTTTTGAATAATAGATGAAAGCCACTGATCTTGCTCAAAGGCCCTGTTCTGTCAGATGCTTCTATCGGCTCGAGCTGTTTATACATATGTCTACATGACAGTACTGTTGCCTTAAATGGTTTGGCTCGTGAAGATTATTGGTATTATTTTAGTAGTATTACTGTTGTTATTATTATTGAGGGTGCGGTGGCGGAGCGGTTAGTGCACTCGTCTCCGAAGCGGAAAGTCTGGGTTCGGACACATATTTTTTTCGACCCCTCCTGCCCACCCAGCAGTAATTGGTACCTGACTTTGAGTTGGGGAAGTAAAGGCGGTGTGGAAAGGAACCGGCGGTGTGGAAAGGAACTGGCCACCCTACCACAATATGCTGAAGGCCCAGGAAGTTGTCTGACTAACAAGGCAATCCCCAATGTCCGGATGATTGGATGCGGGAACAACTTTACTTTACTGTTATTATTGTCTTTATTATCATCTTTAAAAGTGTCAGTATTGTTGTCAAAATTATGCTGTATATTCTATATTATTGATATGTCAATTTTGTTATTTCTATTGTGATTGATTTGTTTTATTATTATCAACATTAGTAGGATTTTTATTGTTATAATTTTTTCAAAATTATTGTTATAATTTTAAAACGTTATTATTATTATTATTATTATTATTATTATTATTATTATTATTATTATTATTATTATTATTATTATTATTATTTAATATTGTTACTATTATTATTATTAAAGACGTTGTAGTTGTTATTTATGTTTCTCTTATATTTTTTCCATCTCCCTGATGATGATGATGATGATGATGATGATGGTGCTGTTTGAAGGAATGATGATATTTGTGTCACGACGTGGTGGAATCAGGCGCTCGTAAAATTTTGGGCATGTGGATTTATTGGTATAATCTTAAAACTTCTTTAGTTGTTTTGCTAACAGTGAAAGAAATACCCATCTATCTTGAATAGAAGTCAAGATATTTGAGATTTCAGATAGTGAGGTCGCTTGGTTTCAAAGGTAGAATTAGCGAGAGAATGGCCGCCAAAGTTTGGTCATTTCCATAGCTTGATGGTCCGTGGAAACTGAAAATTTACATTTTTTGTGCCCTTAATCAATGTTTTTCAGCAAAATCCACCCTGAAATGTGATTTTAATTTGACAACAATGGTGTTAAGCCAAAAAATAAAAGTTCTATAAAAATTGCCAAACTAGCAGAAAAGTGCCAATTTCTTCAATTTCATTATTTTGACGAGCGCTTGATTTCACCACGCTGCCTC